AAACGTAATATTCTGAAAAAAAAAAAAAAAAAAAAAAAAAAAAAAAGAAAAGAAACTTATTTTATACGTACAATCGAGATCGAGATTCTTTTTTAATAAATCGAAAATATACGAAATTAATTAATTAATGAATAAGTAAGTGAAAAATAATTAAAACACCCTTCACTGTCGGTACCAATCTGGACTGGAAATATTCCAATGCAGCTTCCAAGGGCAGGAGAGGCAAGGAATCCTCGTCCAAGGACCGATACAGAACGAATGTCAGAATGACGCAATGAAATCGTGCCCCTAAGGACGCACGAACCCCTCCCCACCACCACGAAGGCGCCAAGGGCCTCGATGATTGGTCGTACGCATTCCAAGTTCGCGTTTGATTGGCCATCCCGGAAAAAAAACCCTTTGGCCCTTCCTCCCCTCCCCCTCTCATTCTCCCGCCGCGCGATACAACCCTTCGCGCATCCATCATCGTATCTTATGACTGACCTCCCTCGCCACCCTTTCCTTCGTCTTTCGCCGTACGCGCCCCACGGGGGGAAAAAAAGGGGTACGTGTCGGATAATGGCACGGAACCGATCCGTTCGGTTCGAGAAAACGGGTTTACGCGCCGTCATTGGTTCCACGCGCGAGCATAACGGCTTTTAATAATAATTATTTCGCCACGGACGGGTTTGATTCTTGAGAAAGAGGGGTATGGCGAAAGGTTTCACGGATCGGATTTAAATTTGATTTAACGTTAGCAGCTTGTTTAAAAAAGGAGAAAAAAATGGAATAGAAGAAAATGGTACAGAATCGTCAATTCTTGAAAAATTTCTTTCAAAACACTTTCTTTCGTTTTTATTTTAAAAGAGTATGATTGAATGTAGGATAGAATCTTTCATCTCGTTCCCTGCTTGACGATGAGACGATAACAAAGATTGAGAAATTTCGATTCCTTAAATTTCTCCTAAATTCACAAGGGTGAACAAGAAAAGGCGCGAGAAACAAGAAAGGTCAGTGAACCAAGCGCGCGGAAAGAAAGGAAGTCGCTTAGCCATTTCGATCGTCGAACTTTCCCATCGATGGAGGGACAAGGATCGAGGAGAGGAGTCGAGGAATAGAGATAAACGGTCGCGAAACGCTCGTAAAAAAAGCCCGAGATCGCAGGTGGGGATGCTCGCTACTGTGGGACGAAACGAGTAACAGGAGAGGGAGAGAAGAAGAGAGGAGAAAGAAAGAGAGAAAAAAAAAATTTCAAAATCCTGTGAATCCCGTGAATTCGACGCAAAAGTTTCTCGTGGCTCGCCCCGATTTTCGCTCCTCCGCATCTGTGTGCCTCCCCTTCATACCTGACGTGGATTCCCCTGAAACGGTGGAAAAAAAAGAAGAAGAAGAAGAAAAAAAACGGTGGAGAGAAAAAAGACGACGACAGGTCAGGTAGAACAGGCCTTAGACACCGAGAGAGCCCCCGTATTGGTGGATTCCCTATAAAATTTCAGTTACTCGTCCTCGTTTTCGTTGAACGGCTGATTACACCCTACCTTCCATCTTTCCTCTACCCTCGAGTAACGCTTATAAGACGCAAAAAGCAGATACACGCGCACACATGCGCGCGAACGCATTGGTTTCCCTTTTCATCCCTGAATTTGCATCGTCGATTCCCCTCTTTTCATAGGAAATTACGCTTTTTTTTCCTCTCTTCCCGCCCGTGAGAAGCTGCTGTCAAAAAAGGAAGGAGGAAAAGGAATGGAGAGGGGAGAAAGGATTTTTTGGGGTGAATTCCGTCGGTTCCTATTTTTCCACCCTTTTGGAACGTCTCTGCGACTTTGAGAAAAAATAGAAAATAACGTTTATCGACGAAAGTCTACCTACGAGGCACCAGGTGTGAATTTATCCACCAACGGACCACCTAGATAAGGCAACCGTTTCATATTTCTCTCTCTCTCTTCTTCACTCTCTTCTTGGTATCGTCGCAAACTGCAACGCGATTGGTGCTCTCTCGAACAAGCAGGTTTGAAAAAAAAGCGCATCGAACGTTTCAACGAAGCTTCTAGATAGAATAGATCGATGGAATCGGGAGGAGACAAGGAGAGAGGATGGATTCTGGAGGAAGGAACGTTGGATGCAACGTTTTTTTTTTTAACGAAGATCCTGGAAAAGATTCGAAAATTCAAATTTCACAAGTTACAAGCTTCACGAGAAATCATCTCGATCAAATAAGGGAAGCAATTTTTAAGAAGCTCGTACCTTCCACCTACCCCTGCTCGATAATAAGTTAACGACTTTCCAGCTGCATTCACACCAAAAATTCGTATTGTATCGATCGAGGTCCTATCTCGAATCTTCTTTGTCCCGCATCTGCATACATCAGAGGCAGTTCTAGGTGCCGTTTTCGAAATGGGGTCGTTGACAATGCTGGTGCCCATGCAATTTCCAACTATTGAGGCCCGTTTAACGTTCGCACGAGTGACACGGTGACCGTCTATCCATCACCCACCCACGTCTCTACGCGGATCCTATCCTGCACGCACACGCAACAGAATCCATTCTGAGCGGCTGTGCAGCTGGATTGGAAATCCTGCGACCTTCGGCGCATCGTCCATTTTTTCCCTTTCTTTTTCCTTTTTCCACGAGTGGAGGGAAAATCGGCCACTGACCTGACCTTCGTCTTGTAAAGTTAGATTTCAGATTTCGGGGAAGAATCGGAACGCATCATGTACGTCAGGTGATAAAAATGGCACAATAAGACACCTGAACTGGAGGAATTTCTCAAGGAAGATTTTTTTGGAAAACATTTCTTCTACGAATAATCATTTTTAGAATTAGATATATTAAATTATTCGTAAATTATTGTCGTAAAAAAATATTAAATACAAAATGGTGTAAAAGAGAAGAAAATGTGACGTTTTTAATTTTCATTGATATAGATTTTTATATGAAGTTCTTGTCTTTGGAAAATCACGTGGAATATTTTTAATGACGAAAGAATTTAACTGTTATCGTTTAATATTTTCACGTGTCTTTGTTAACGATTTCTCTAAGATATATTTAATACACCTTCGTCCAAAAATCAAAGGAAACGAGGAAACACAATTCCACCGTTACAGGTACACGAAAGTTCATTCGTGCAAAGCATGCAAGCCCATTCAGGCGACACGTTGAATATTTCTATCTAATTCAACGGAATGCATCGGATGAATAACGGCTTCTCCGCGACGCAACAATCGCCACGAACTTCCATTTTCTCGATGAATTCTGCCGCGCAACAAAGCTTTCGCCATCTACTCTCTCTCTTTCTTTTCTCTTCCTCTCCTCTCCCTTCCTCTCTCGATCCTCGATCGCGTGGGATCAACCGATGTTTTTGTTCGTCCAGGCGAGAATAGCCAGCCAACGACGAAGGGCACGTTGCCCTTTTCTCGCGATCTACATAAAATATCGATTCTTTTCGACGTTCGGGAAAAATATCGACGAGTCACGAACATCCATGCACGAATCTCCCCTTCTCCTCCCTCCTCTTGAATGAATCTTCGTCTTGCGACTATCTTTCTCCCGGTAGAAACCGGCTCCTCTCGATTTAACGAACGGCACCACAAAGGAGAGAAATCGTTATTTTCACGGCTCTACCCGATTTCGCGCTTGCATCCCTCGCTCCACGCACCCTCCGCTCCCCAACCGCCCCTGTCCCGCCTTCGAATCGGCCCTCTCTCAATCGCCGCCGTCCTTTTGCTCAATTTACCTCAAATTCGGCTTTCTACCCTATCCTTCTACATTGTTTTCGACGCTTCTTTCTTTTCCACGCTCTTTCCCACCGTCGATATACTTTCGCTCGATTCGTAACGGTCCTCTGAACGAACGTGGAGAATAGCGTGATCGTGAATTTTGTACTGCTCGGAAAGATGCATAGGTGTAAAGTTATATGATTTTTTCCTTCCCTTCCTCTTGCAATTTGATCAGTAAACGATAAATTCCAATGCATTTGAATTTATAATCAACTTCTCTTCAGATTCGCATACTTATTTTCCCTAACGAACATGTAACATTATTATAATCAGCAAATAGTTTCTTTTTCCGATCAAACTTCTAGGTTTGTAAATTTTGAAAGGAAATTATATTAAGAGGATTAAAAAGGAATTTTCTATTATTCAAAATTACTTATTGCGTTGTAAGAAAAGGGGGAAGAGAAAAAAAATGTCGAAAAGAAACGAATCGAAAGAGCTCTCTCGATTTACCTGGCTGCATCGCAGCGGCTAAGATCGCATTAAGTCTCGTTCCATCTTCGTCCCGCGTATCACACGAGGCAGCCAGAATGTCTAAACGGCATCTGCGCCGTTTCTTCGTCGCCATTCTTACGTAAGGGAACGTATGACAATGAGAACCAACTACCCTTGTCTACGGGGGAGGAATGTCTGGCCCATTATTCCGCGCTACATGCACCGCCTGTCAACCGACTTACGATTTTATTAGGGCCTTACATCATTCGATTATGCTTGCCTGCTCCGTTTTCATGCATGGCGGACTCGACGAGCATTGAATCGAGATTTTCCTCGTTTTCTCCCGAATTCATTTTCAAGAATAATCGATAAACGGATATCTAATTCCATACAAAGTTGAGATTTCTTATTTCTATGCACTATCCATTGCATATTTAATCAATGCCTCGGATTATTGAAAATTGTTAAAATCTTCTCTCTTGTAAATTTCTTGAAATCTTCTCAATAATATATGTTATACGAAATACGAAAGTATTTTGTAAGTTTAAAATTTTAATGTATCCAAGAAGGGTTAAATTTCTATATTCTGAAAGATTCAGAACAATATGCTTAATTCCCTTGATGGAGCAACCAATTTCTTTTTCCTTCTATGTAAAGTGACGAAGAATTTGCAGGAATCGAGCCAGTTAAGGCTCGAATACTGATTGCAGGCTGAGGATTCGCTTTGAAAAAAGGGGGGAAGGCACGAGGGGGCTAGATCCACGAGCCAATGGAATAACAGTTTCCATTGGCGTGTTTTGAAGCAGCGGTTCGGCAAGGGTGACGAGAGAGAAGGGGTGGACTGGTTTTCGAGCAACGTGTGGGGTGAGTCTAAAACCGTTAGGTTGGTCGCGTGCTACCAAAGGCACGTGGCCTTCCTCTCCCTCTCGCTTTCTCACTCTAACTCGTCTACGCACGCGCACGCACACGCGTGAATCCCGCTCCGTCCTTCCGTACGCATGGTTCTTTCGTGAAACAACTTTAATGGAATTTGCGAGATTGTAGAGAGAAATTATAGAAGACGGAAGAATTCGTCGAAGTTTTTTTCTCTCTTACGATAATTTATATATATATAAATATTTTCATGATTAATTTCTAAAATCTTCAATCTTTCTCGAGATAAACAAAGATCTACGATATATCTTTAAATATCTTCTTTTGTATAACGGTTACTTATTTAGATTTTTAGATTTAGACTCAATCCTCGAGATGTTGGAAAAGAGAGAATTAAAAATGAAAGTCTTCGTGGAAAATTATTTAGATTTTGGAGGATTTTCATGGAAAAAAATCCAAGGAAAAAAGATCTTTGATATTAGAAAATGTAAACGGCACAAGTTCCTTCATCCATTCGAAGAGAGAATGCTTAAAAATTCGAGGAGAAATTAATCAGAAAGATGGGCAACCTCGATTACCGAAAAACACATGTTCCAAACGATTATCTTCCCTAGGAATTTACATCCTCAGAGTTGTTCGCACACTGTTTTAATGACGCTTCCACTTTCCTAATTAGAGGCAGCGGTGCGTCGAATTATATTCCGCCCGAACCACAAAACAGAGCGCAAGCTCTGGAGGAGTTAAGGGATATCGATCTTGGAAACTCGACGATCGGGTGAAATTAAGAGGCAGGTAAGGGGCGAGAGCGAGATTCTCGGACACATGGCGCCATTAGGAGCGGTGAAAACGAGATATTATTCGAACGTGGGTCGGGACAGATGCAGGATCGGTAAATAGTCGATTGGATAGCAGACCAGTCGATGCTGATCGTCGTCATCGACAGCTACCGTTATAATGAAATCGAGACAGACCCTTGGCACGTGCTCTCGAAACGAGAAACACACATTCTTTCTCTTTCTCTCTCTCTCTTTTCTTTTAATTCCTCGTCTACACTCTTCATAGCTATGCATAACGGTGCATAAGAGATGCAATCTGCGATTGCAGATGGTCCTGGATGTTATAAGAAAGGAACTAGAAAAAAATTTCGAAACGATACGTTCTTCTTCTTCTTCCTCTTTTTTCTTTTTTTTTTTTTTTTCAAAATTCCTCTCAAGTTACGATTATAATATCTTCTAACATCTTTTATACGAAACCTCGTGTCTTCTTGCACGTTCTATTCTGCATGTTATGTAAGTAAGATATTAATTATCGATATTATTTTATATATAAATATATATATCGTGAAAAAAGTTTATCTATATTATCTACTTTTTATGTTTGTTTGTTTTATTATGTATTCTACATTATCTAATCTTTGTATTATCAGTTACCTCTATTTCGTCTTTTTTTTACATGCATTACTTTATCTTTATCTTTAACTTTTTTCTTTTTATCTGTTTATCATAAACGCGCCATGCTTCTTATTAAATATTTCCTCGCTCCTAAATTCTAAATTTTCTGCTTCCAAGAATTATACTCCATATAATTATATTCACGCTGAAGATTTATAAATGAACACCGAGAGATGAGAAAATCGGTAAGATCGATTTCCAATCCCAAATATCACTTTATAATTTACAACGTGCAATTATAAATTGGAGAGGAGTGCAAGTAGAAGAGGAAACGGAGAGAGAAATCTTGGAGAGAAGGCAATTACGGGAGAAGAGGCAATTAAAAGGTTCGAAAAGTGCGTCGTACTCGCGATAAGAAAAATGGCGGAGGCCACGTCCACCGTAAATTTCCGATAAGGAAATGAGACTATGCATATAAAAGCGAGGGTTTCCGCGAGGGAGTTGCCACAGTTGCCGCTCTAACTCCATTTGCTCCCGGCACCCCCGCTGCTGGCAGTGATGTATGGCACGGTGTGAGACCTTTCGTGCTGACCACTATCGACGATCTTTCGCGTTTCCTCATCTTCGATTTCTCGCTCGCGCCTCTCTGAATACGAAGGTGGTGGAAATGGAATTCCGCGCCATTCTCGAAATGGCCAACTTCAACATTCGTCCCGTTGCGGTAATTGCGGGGAATTTGCTTTAATTGGTACATTAGCGTGATGGATATCACGGTTGAACGAATGTACACATGTGAACTGAGAATTGTAACAATGTTGGATATAAAGGTTTACAAAGAAACTCGC